GTGGTGAGGAAGGAATATCAGAAGCTTAAGTAAGACTTTTCTCCAGGCTCCTGGGATGTTAAGCACATCCTTTTATCATTAGTGAATCAGTCACATGAAAACTGCTATGTCCAGGCAGATTTCCTTGGCACCGAGGGATTGGGGATGACAGTGAAGGAGGTTAAAGGAGATTTTGAACTAAATCAGTGCCTGTTACCTATCTGTTTACTCCGTTTGGACTGGAGCCCCCAGAGTCCAGCTGCTTGGCATCTGTGCAAAGACAGGTCGGGAATGCTGTAAGGAGCCATGTTCAGTGGTGTTACTGTCACAAACTAGAAGAGAAAAACCCACTCACAGCATCCATATGTGTCTGGCACATGTAGTCAGCCCTCCATAGCCACAGGCTCCCTATCGTTGAGTCAGCCAACTGCAGATCAAAACTGTTTGGGAAAAAATTGCATTTGTATACTGTACGTATTTAGACTGTTTTCTTCTCATTTCCTAAACAATGGAGTATAACAACTTATTCTTGTAGCACTTACTTTGTATTAGATAGTATAAATAACCCAAAGATGATTCAAGTATATGGGAGACTATGCCCTGGCTTTGTGCAAATGCCATGTCATTTCCTATAAGGGGTATATGAATGCCTTTGGATTTTGGTATCTTCACAGGTCCTGTACTCAGTTTCCCATAGGCACCACCAGTGAGCTGTATGGTGAAGAGGGGCTTCCCAAAGATTGTATCCCTGTGTCCTGGGCCTTAAAGAAAGAGTTTAACCTGGCGATGCCTTTGAGAGAGGAGTAGATGAGGAATTTAGCCTTTCCATTCTTACACATCTCCCCAACCAAACTCAGTAGTTATCACTGACTGAATTTCCTGTGCCACAACACAGCAACCCAGCAGCATAGTACAGCGCTTTTATAGGCAGTGTTCCAGTTGCCCAGTTTATCTTTTTGGTCACAGAAAAATCTGTTCTGATTAATTGAGCTGTATTCTTTCATATCTGATAAAGAGATCATCTTTGAAGAAAAGAATAGGTTGTGAAGCTGAGTTTGAGTAGAGGGTGGACGATTGCCAGCTACTTCAAAGGTACCTGACTAAAGGTGTCAGGTTTGCTGCCAGAGGGCGGCTCTACAACCAGGCTGTTCACGGTGTTCTAGCTTTGGTTTCTGGGACACTAGGTCAGCAGCGTCCATATGCTTTCCCTGGAGGCTTCTCCCTGGGTGGTCCAGGCTGTTTTAGGATTTCAGAAGATGTGACTCGGGGGAACGTGTGCATCAAAGATGTTTGCCATCTTTTCCTTAGGTTTATTTATATGTTTGCCTTTTTAGTGGCCTAATTCTTAGTTACACAGCTGCACTTTCTGAAAGAGCTTAAGACACTAGGTTTAGAACATTCAAAGGTGTAGTGTAACACAGGCCTCTCTCTAGTCCCAGCACTTAGGAAGCTAAAGCAGGAGAAATGTCGAGTTCACGCCCATCCTGGACTATCTAGTGAGCTACAGTTCAGCCTGAACTACTTAATGAGATCTTGTCTCAAAAAACAAAACAAAACAAAAACACAAAGGGGTAGTATTAATTCAGTTTTTATAAATGAAAGGATGATTAGGAGGATCTAAAGAAGAGGAACGAGAGACAAGATGGAGGAGGCAAGTTGCAACCTTGCACATGAGTACTACCCTGGATTAGAGGATCCACTCAGTCATACCCAGTGTATGGTGGGTATTGTAAGCATAGCATTAGGCTAGGGCTTAAAAACAGCTTTAAAAATGAAAGAGAACAGTAAGGTTTTCCTGTAGGGAGCTTAGGGCTTTTTAATCCACTTAGAGCTCCCCAAACTTTATGTGGAATGATGATAATACTACTGTTATGAATGCCTGCTGTTTCACTGGTACAGTAGCAGTGCACACCTGTAATCCCAGCGCTTGGGAAGCTGAAGCAGGAATAGTGCCACAAGTTCTAGGCCAGGCTGAACTACATAGTGAGCCCCTGTCTCAAAAAGCAAAACAAAAACAAAAAATGCTATATAGCCCTTTTATAAGTTTTGCAAGTGTTTTTTCCTTAACTTTTTTATGAAGGTATTAAATACTTATCTAAGTGCACATATTGTAATACATGTAGTTTGCTGAAATTTTACAAACTGAAACAGCTGTGTAAAGAATATCACCAGATAAAGAGCATCACCAGTATCACAGAAGTACCCTTCATGCGCTCTTCTAGTCATTGCCCCCCAAAGGGTAGCTACTTTTAAAATAATATAAGCATTTGCCTGTTTATATTTTTAAAAATATAAGTAGAATCTTCTATTATTCTTTCAACAATGTAAATGACATCCTTTTGTCTCTTTACTTTCAGTGTTTTGTTTTTCCTTATGTTTCACATCTCTTATTTTTTATACATAGTATATGTTGTATACGATACAGAGAATGTGGATATGTTTATCTTCTTGTGAAGAATGCTAATTTTGTTTTGTTTTGAAATAACCAACTGCTAATTGATCACTTTGAACTTGTGGGAGATTGGTTTTCCACTTTGCTACAATGAGTACATTTTGGCTTTATCTTTAGTCTTGGGACATATATACTCTGTGTGCTCTTGCGGGTAGAGACGATCTTGCTCTGTAGTCAGGCTGGCCTTCAACTATGTAGTGCAGCCTGGCCTCAAGCTCTTGATGATCCTCCTGCCTCAGCCTCTCAAGGCTGGGGTTATAGATGTGTGTCACCCACACCCTGTATATTTTAAGCTTGGCTTTCTAAAGTTTCCCTGAAAAGCCAAAAATGTTAATCAAGCCTAACTTGGCAGACTTTTAACTCCAAATCTTGTCTTTCTGCAGTGGTTATTGAACCTGCGGTGGCCAACTGTCCCAGTTTGCTTGGGGCCTGAGGGGTATTTGCAACTTGTATAACTTCAATTTTATCCATTCTAGTGTTGATGGTATTTGGGTAGTTGGAGGCAATTATGAATAATGCTGCTCTGAACCCTATTTTGGAAGGCCTTTTCTCTTTCTAATGTGCAGTTGAAAAACTAAAACTCAAACTCTTGTAAGATTAGGAAGCAGAGGTGACAGTTTGAACTCCTGTGTTCTTTCCGGAACAGCAGTCTTTGGGTTAGGTTTCAGATTTATAGATGATCTCTTTAGAAAGTAATTATTGTCAGCTATTTTGTTGCCAAATTGTTGGATCTGATCATGATCCAGATTTAAGGGGAAAGTAAATTCAAAACATGCTTCTTTCCACTCTTCCCTCCCTGTCTTTCTTTTTCCTTCTTCTCCGCTTCCCTTTTTTCTTCCTCTTGTCCTTCTATTCTTACAAATGACCTTTTAAAATTGTATATTATATGTGCATTATAGAAAATACCAAAAACATCCCAGGTGTGGTGGTGCAAGCCTGTGATCCCAGCACTTGTGAGACTGAGGCAGGAGGTTTGGTACATAGTGAAATTAGGTGTTACATGTAATGCCTCAAGCCTTATGCTTTTGGTTAGAATTGTGTTGGCTATTCTGACTTTTGTATTTCCTTATGAAATTTTAGGATTGTACTTTTTAGTTCTGTGAAGAATACCATTGGTATTTTGATGGGAATTGCATTGAATGTGTAAATAGCTTTCAGTATTGGCCATTTTTCCATCTTCTGGTGTCTTCAGTTTCTTCAGTTCTAAAAAGAAAAAGAAAACAGAAACCTTTGTTTTGGCAATACTGGAAATTGAACCCAAGGTCTTTGCACTGACTGAGCTTTATTTTGAGATAGCATCTAAGTCACTAAATTGCCCAGGCTTGGCTTGAACTTGAGGTCCTCCTGCCTTCTAGAGTGCTGGGCTTATGGGCAGTTGCCAGCACATTCAACTAGTGTTCTGAAATTTTTGTTGTTGAGATCTTGCTTAGAGCTCCTTGGTTAGATTGATTCCTGTGTGTTTTATTTTCTATGAAGCTATTGTAAGTGAAATTGCTTTCCTGATTTCTTTCACAGCCAGTCCTGTATTTGTATATAGTGAAGCTATTGATTTTTTTAAATGTTGATTTTATATCCTGCTACTTTGTTGAATTTATTTATCAGCTCTAATAGTTTTTGGGTCTTCTAAGTATAGGATCGTATCATCTGCAAACAAGGACAATTTGACTTCTTCCTTTCCTGCTTGTATCCCTTTTACTTTATTCTTATGCCTAGTTGCTCTAGCTGAAACTTCCAGAACTGTATTGAATAAGACTGATGAGAGGAGACATCCTTTTATCATTACTGAAGGCTATGTATTTTTTATTTAAAATACATAATAGAGGGGCTGGAGAGATGGCTCAGTGGTCTAAAGCACCTACTTAGAACAAGCTTAGCAAAAGCATCAGGGACCGTGGTTCAATCCCCCAGC